ATTATCGCATTACTCAAGTTAACGAATGGAATTGGTATAGCAAAGCAGAGGCCTCTTGCACCAAACTACCTACCTAGGTAAATTCCGATTTTACCTAAATTCTCTTGCACCAAACTACCTACCAAAAAACGCTACCGTGAAAATTTACCTAGAAATTCTACCGAGCGGCATCGGAACTTACCAGTTGTTAAAGTCCGACCGGCTGTTCTCCTCTTGCACCGAAAGCCGGAAAGAAGTACTCGCGGAGGAATTTTTGACGATTTGACGGTACACTCGGGCTTCCAAAATAACTAGCAAAACCTTGGGTAAAATTATTCAATTAGTAACAATAGGCACAATACATGATAGTCCACGGGTACTTTTATGTAAATTAGGCATTACAAAATGTTTAGACAATGATAAATCAATGTTTTATGAGTGAATAATAATATACATAATTGACCAAATGCTCCATGAGTTCACAGAGGTGCTTCTCCGTACCAAGGCGATAAACCTCCGTAGCAGAACAGCCAGATTGAAGACTCACTCGTTGCCATGGAAACGAAGCTTATTTGTTCAAGTAATTTAATATCAAAATAACTTCTATCGGTATTTACGTAAATGAAAAATGATTTCATAATACCAAATTGTATATTAATAAAAACAATATCCATTTGATTGTTTTCTTTAGTTACTATTTGTTTGCGCCCACAAATAATTCGTCGCCAAACAGCCAATCAAAACAAATCCTAAAAACGCGAGCTGTCAAATTTACCTAGGTAGGTAGGTAGGATGGTGCAAGAGAAGTTACCGCCGTAGGTAGTTTTACTAGGTAGGTATTTTGCCGATTCTACCTAGCTAGGTATTTTGGTGCAAGAGGCCTCAGATTCCAATATCGTATAATTATGCTGTTGTGACCTGTGGAACAAGCAACGACGTAAATTAGCGATTCATATGCATTGCGAACACAATTTCGCAGCGAACACGGAGAGACACGTCTCATCAGCGCATTTGGTGGACAGGGGAGGGACAGAGTTAAACGGAGGTCTCAGAGTAAGGATCATTGGACAACGGGGAGCTGGATAACCACGGCGTGGAAAATCACGCAAGTCGAGGTGGACGAAAGGGGGCAAAGAGGAAGAGATAGATGGCCAGGGATACAGGGAGGGAGAAAGAGGGAGAGAGGAGAGAGACACGAGAAGAGATGAGGGGGAGAGGAGCTCGCTATCGTGCGCTAATTCCGTCATCGCTGTATGGAAAACTTGCCGAGAGTTTGATTAAGCCGGCCGCGGGCCGGAGGGGTCGGGACCGGTGTGTGTGTGGGGGGGGGGGGGGTCGGGAGGCAGTGCTGGCGGTGAGTTAACGACGCCGAGCAAAAGTCGTCCACCCATTCACAAGGTTCTGTGAGTGCCGGCCGAGGGATCATTAACAGAATTTTACACAATGCCGGAGGGGAACAGAAAAAAGGAGATGAAGCCAGAGTCCGGCACAAATAAAGAACTGTCTGGCTTGCACATAACTATAAACTCAAATGAAAAGAGCATAATCGGTAAATAACATTCAAAACATAGCATAACGAATAGAAAAGGTCATGGAACCACTAAAGGGATCGAAATCAAGCGAACTGGTGATCAATCACGTTCATGAAAACCGCACTTCGGCGCGGCCCTACTTCGAACGTTATACTGGCTGTGAGAAGACTGAAGCTCAGGGTTTACAGCAGTCTGCCCCCCCCCCCCCCGCTCCGCCGGCGGCGACCGCGCGCAAACCAAAGCCCGGTCGATATCGGGTCCATCTTATTGAAATATCGTCGGCGGTGAGCCGCGAAATGGTGGCCATATTTCGCTGCATCATCGCGCCGGTCAACTAAGCGTGGAATTGGCTCCGGTAGGACGGCCGCTGTCGGTCATCAGAGCGCCCTCCCGGCGGTCGGGCCGTGAGCGACCGCTCCGGGACGGCCGGCCCCCGGCAACGTACGACCGGCGGCCGGCGGGCACAATCCCAGCACCGATCGGCCATCGCTCCCGGCTCCAATGGACCGGCCACCGACATGGACACATCCGACCAATCCGCAGATTATGATAAACATCGGCCCGCAGCGGCGACCGACCGATCCGACCTTCGGTGGCCATCGGTCGGCCCGCTGAGGACAGGATATCGCCGGCTTATTTTACTGAAACTATGCTCAAAGTTGGCCCGGGAGACAGCCAGCGATGTCAATATTGCCCAATCACACAATAACGCTACTGGCTATGTTGTCTCCGAACCGCAGCAATCAGAGTTGGTTCGTAAACGGGAACATTTATTTCAACTCCTACCATTCGGTACACCAGCAGAAGAATTAAATCTGCCAATCACGTTTGTCAGCTTCTTCAGCAAGACCTTTGCATCACTTTCATCGTTGCAAGACTTTGAGGATCAAATGCTCACCCAAGCGAGCAAATCCATTTCCCGAGCTCACTGCATGAAAATCTCAGCCGCTCACCTCCCATACACCCCATCCGTTCCTCTCGCAGCCCCGGCCCCCTTCCGGTGACGGAGAGCGGGTTAATCGGAGTGGCACAGGCGAGGCGCGCACCGCCGCCGTCACCGCCTCGGCAGCAGGGAGACGGACGAGGGCGGCAGCCCACCGCCCCCGCCCCCGCCCGGACTCCACCTCGTCCGGATTCCTCCACGCCCGAGGAATCCGCTCGTACAGCCGCTCGTCCTGCGCTTCAGTTCCAATTCGGCTCAGGCTTGTATGCTTCCAGATGGAATTGCAGTATTGTTATAGTTGAGTGTTCAGTATTTTAGCACAGAGCTGGTTGTTTGGCAGCGGTGGACGATGTCTCAGCGGTTTTTATTCGTTGTTACCAAGGACGAGGCGGTCTCTCGAGGCGAGTGGTTCGAACTGCCGACCAAGCGCCGGTGAAGTACCCGTCGATTCAGAGGCGATCCTTCTGACAAACCCCGCGGGAGATCATTATGACGTCATAGCCGGCATACGGACTGAATCATGAATAGTGTATGCGGATCCACGGCACTGACGGCAGCGCAATTAGGTTGTCTGAGTTCACCTGGAGCCCAGATACTGGGAAAGACGCGAAGCGATCACCGGAGGGACACATCTGGTAGAAAGAATGAGCCGGAAAGGCATAAAGTATACAATGCGGTAAATAAGACAGTATAAGATGTCACAACAACATATCCCAGCATGAGACATTTCTCGCGTAACCTGAGCTAAAATCTTACCACCGGGTCAGAGAGTGAAAGCCATTGGTTTTCTTTGTGGCAGGCAGACGCTGATACATAACACATGTAATTCAAGCTTGCCCAATAACCCGAGATCTACTTGTGAATCCATACAATACAAGCCATTTGAGATGCCACCGACGTCACACATTGCGTCAAAGGGGAGTCGGGACAGCGCCGGGCCTCCCCGCCTTCGGAGGACCGCCTGTCGAACAGGGACATCATAGTCCGGTGACGTGGCGTCTGTTCAGAGGTCCCGGCCGAGCGGCGCCGCTTTATTGGGTGTCCCCGGCCGTGACAAGCCCTGCAGATTGCCAGCTTCTCGGACCGCCTGCTCAGGGTCGTCAACCGAAACAGGGAGCGCCGCCCCTCAACAGCCGAACCAGCGGCCATACGGCCCGAACGACCGCCAGCAAAGCCAGCGGCTAATGCAGCCCACTCAAATGTTGGATGGAATATTTATTTATGACGGCGCTCTAAATACTCTCAAAATCGCCAACACCCACGCCTGCACTAAAAGGAGCCGGCCAGAAAAGAAACGGCCTGACAGAAATGATGTGGTTTTCATTGGGTGAGGGTTTTGAGTCCGGCAGTCGGCACCCAACATCGAATCAGTCCTGGAGAGCATCTCACTAGAGCATCCAGTCCACTGGACAGTCTGGGGGGGGGGGGGGGGGGTGTCTCAGTAGAACTACGGCGGCCCCGAGGCCTCACACCGACGGTTGATGGCTCGGCCGGGTCCGAAGAACAACAGCTCGTGTCGGTCTGCCTCCTGCCGGTCTCCGCGGCCCGGCCCCTGCTGCGGCCCGGGCCGGACTGACGCGTACCACGGCTCATTACCACAGCCGCAGCTGCGTCGCCCCCGCCGCCGCCGCCGCCGCCCTGACCAGCAGCGGGCCATTTCCCCCACGACCGATCGCCACTTGCTCAGTTCCGGTCTGAGAAACAGTCCATGGAACAATTCCAGTCCAGTCAGCATGCAGCAGGCGCGCTGACTGAGGCCATTTCGCATTAAAGGTTTTACGCTTCGAAAACACGGAGCATAGCCAGCGATATTCCTATTTCAGAGAACACTGGTGTTCAGGATAAATTTCGAGCCAACATCCGCTCCTGTTTTCGCACCATGAACGCCAAATCCTGCGACTATTTTCCGCCGCTGTCGTATCGCCGTCGGTAACTGGAACATAGCACCGGCGCCGCTCGCCAACGGCTCGTCGAATTCCCATCGGAGCCATCATTCCGCTATCGTGCCGTTTTCGTTCCGATTCAACAACAGCCATTCGGCAGCGGGACCGGGCTGTGGGAGCGGGGGCGGGGGCGGAGCGGGGCGGGAGGCTCCAGCCTCCCCAGGCCGCGGACGGTGGCCGGCTGACAGGCGCCCCATTAGTGGCCACTTTTATTCTGCGCCGACCGCCGCAAATAAATCAGCGGCTCCCGCGAGTGGCCGCCCTCTCCCGGGACGGCCGAAAAATAGCGCCGTCACCTCTGGCGGCTGCGATAGCGGCACCAGGGGTGAAAAAAATTGTTGGGTGGTCGCCGACGAAATCCCCGAGGGTCAAAATGGTCTCTCTTGGAAAAATGCCCCCAAAGACACCAATTTTTGCCATGCACTTTTGTAACGACGATTCTGAGTGTTTTCCGAACACAGCGGATCTGCGGGACGGAAGCTTCCGTGTTTAGTAACTTCTGATGATAATTGATGAAATGTGTTTGGAGGCGCTCCAAGACATACCGAGTGACAAGTTTCGCGGCGACTTCAACAGCTTCCAGCAACACACTGAACTCAACCGTCAGATTTATTTTCATTGCATGACTGAGGAGAGGTTCTGGAAAAATGTGCATACATAGGAAAACACTTACGTTACGTGACATTACGTGAGCACATTAGTACATTGCTGATTGAAGCTAACAACGTAGCACTGATTTTTGACGAGCCTTCAAGCATTCTGTATTTCTTTTCAACGCCTCTGGGTCGAAAAGAAAAGGGTCCCAAAACACCACCTCCCCGACCCGGCGAAGGTGACGCGGAGCCGGTAACTTAAAACATAATTAGAAATAGAAATGCCAACTAGCACACGCTTGGATAAAGTCCACGTCTACCTTGAGATATCTGTGGCGTCTGAAAGCCACTGTCAAATATGGACAAATTCGCATCTGGCATTCTCGAGATATTACCGCTGTGCACATGCTCACGAGCAAGACCAACCCACACTTGCCTACAGAGAAAGTAATATTTTGTTGACAACCTAAAATAGACATCTAACGCATTGCTATCGACCCAATCCCTGACGAGTACCTGCAAGAAATCATTCCAAAATCCCACCATGCCTGACGTGCCACATGCATTGTTAATGTGTCGACTAGGTTCAGCCAGCACGTTCACTCCTAACATTGTATTCCTCATTTACATCACTATATGTTCACTACATGTTGTGCATAATCCTACCACACTCCCAACATTACAGCACGGAGGCTACCGGCACAGTGCACATGTGAAACGTGGGCAACATTCCTCGACATATAGTAATTCAAATGCAAACACCCGCGGTACGAAAGGCCAGTGACCTCAGGTGGGCTGCGGCGCCGGCCAGGTAAGGCGGCGGCCGGCGAAGGGAACTAATACGAAGCTCACGCCGGAACGGTTTTTACTATGTGCGTACACTTTGACTGATGGGGCCGCTACATTCGTACATTTAAAATGAAACTACTTGAGTACCATGGATTTTGTGTTGTACCTAACTCAACTGCGACTTCGCAACTGAGACTATTTGAGACAAAAAATTCACTTTTGAAAATGTCTGGGAACGACTCATAACATGTCCAGTGTTGCATATTCCTTTTAATCATGGAAAATGTACGTACGTGCACATTTGGCAGCCTTGTGGCGAGCGATGACTGTGCTCTGTAGCATCGACACGATTGACACCGTGGAGCGCACGAAGTCGAACCCTCCCCTTTTGAGCGCGGCCTGAACGACGTAGTCGGAATGTGCCGGGTCAGGGCCGTTCCAGCGCACTATCAGCTCCTTCTCAGCGTTGTCGTGACGGAGCTGTCGATGTACGCCGAACACGGCCTTAACAGTGCTGCCCATGCTTTCGACAACGCTCTCGGCTGGGCACAGTAGCCACAGTCGGATGACTGTGTCCACGTACGGCGTCAGGGCGGCCTGTAGCTTCGCTCTCTCCCACAGGAACTTCAGGAGTTCCTGGTTCGACAGGTTGGGGGCAGAGTTCTGCAGGGCTTGGTAAGCCACTTTCAAGCACTCACCAGTGACGACATCTGGGATCATCCGACGCCTCTTCAGGCGATGCAGCGCCTGCTGTACCTCGACGGCGACACTGGAGGTTCTCGATTGCTTGATAGAGTGCAGATCAGACGCGGTGCGGATGTCATTCATCGCGTCCATCAGCTGGGCGTTGTGACAGCCCTTAGTGGCCCCTCTGGCGTCGGTACCCTTCTCTCGGCGCCTGCAGTGATCAGCCAGCGCTGTTGCAAAGCTTTTGATCTCCTTACTCTGCAACAGAGCCGGGTGTAGAACGGTCAAGCTGCCATAGTAACAATACGCTGAATAAGTGATTAACTGTATATTATCAGTGCGGAATTTCCGTGCATATGTAGTCAATGCGTTGCAACACGGAGCATGCTGGTGACTATTTAGCATCAGGGGCGTCCCTTGATGATTCGTAATCCGTTCATTATTGTTTCGAAGTGATGGAAGTTCAACAGTGAATTCATATTTGTAATGGTAGCGACTGTTTTTTTTTTTTTTGCTAACACACACGCACCGCTAGACGCATTTGATATTTGCGAAGGCACTGTTGTAAAGGTGGATATTAAGCTGGCGCACAGACATTCAGCGGACACATGACTGAAATACAGTGATCATATTTATAACTATGCTGCAGGTCGAAGAATACGCTGCACAAACGTTCGATTCTGAATTGAATCCCCAATTGCGTTGACACATCCCAAGTCACTCTGTTAACAATACCTGATCAGGAGAGATCTTGTCAGCATGCTTCAGCAGATTCGGCCAGCACGTCTTCAGCTCCGTCGGATCTTCCTCGCGTAGCATGTCCGCGATATCAGAGCTACTCAGCACAGTTGAGCCTCGGCGAGTCGATGCTGAGGCAGCCAGGGTGCCTGCCATCTGCTCCAGCTTCTTGACTGTGTCCGCGTGAAGCTGCTGGCGCTCCCAGGGCAGCTTCTGTAGGTTCTGCAGGTCTTTGCTGAGCTGTCCTAGGACGTTGTAGAGGTCTAGTAGAGCCATTACACGTCTCCTGAACGTGGTATCGGTGCCTGCAAAAACAAAACAAAGCAAAAGCGATTGAGTTTTTGTAAAGTTTGTTGAAACCAGCAACCGCAGTCATGTTTTCCACTTTTGTGTTACACTTTATTAGACATGACCATCGACCATGACCATGACCATCGACAGCGTATAGCATTCAGTAGTAAATCAATTATGTAATTGAAGAACAATGCAGCAACGTCCAACGTTATCCTAAATGAATGGTGTGAGTAAAGAAGAAATGAATGAAGCAGTCTACCACAGGTCAATTAATCGCATAGGTACCTTCTAGCAGTCGGAGATCCTTCACCATCTGGTCAACCACAGGGGCCTTCTCGCGGGGAGAGTCTGCCAGCCGATCCAGACCAGCAGCCAGCGCAGGCATATTAATGACGAATGCCTGGAGGACGACGGCAGCATAGGGCGAGAACCTAGTCTCCGACCAGAGCTGGAGTCCTCGGAGCGGCAGCCCGCGTTCTTCGCAGATGCCCTGCAGCATCTCCCGGTTCTTGCTGCTGGACGAGAAGCGCTTGATGATGCGGGTCACCGTTTCGATGGTTTCGTTAACCCAAGCGCAGCTCGGTTCGGCCCTTGCGCTCGAGTCGGCCAGATCCAGGAGGTGTGCACCGTCCCAAAGACACGGTACACACGGCGGCTCGGAGCGGGCTGCATAGTCTGGGTGAGAGTTTGCCAGGGTTTTAAGGAATTTAGATGGGACGCTGTTGTGGTGGTACTGTCCGTCGGTGCATATGGCAGACAGCTTCTTCACCTCCGTCACACCGACTTTCGTCATGGTGTCCAACCACTCCTTTGCCAGCGAGCTCCCGTCATGGTCGGTTACGACAGGAGCCCCGACAACGAAGCTCTGGAATAGAGCGTCCGCTGGTGCCTCTGGAATGATCGTGATGATCCCGATGATGTCCAACGTCCGGTGGTTGACAGTCACTTTGTCGGCGATCATCGCAACACATGGTGCTGTTTGGACATGACGGGCCACCGTACTCAGCACCACGTCACAGAAAGCGTCTCGGAAACGCGGCATCTGCATTCCGGAGTGACATTTGTCGCCCATGTTTAGTCCATTCTCATGCTGGAGGACGATCAGCTTCTCGAACTGATCCCTCGGAAGAGAGTGCCTGATGATGTGGTAAGCTGTGCGCCCTGCTCGGAGGCCAACGCTTCCAGCCGTTCTAGCACGCGCCGCTTTTAGCTCACTTTGTTTTTTCAGCTCTTCCTTCTTTTTCTGATGTCCTCCTCCCATCAGGTGAGCCTTGATGGCAGCCTTCAGCAGGACGAACGGTCGTGGCAAGGAGGTGGGTTTCGGAAAGCTGACTCCTAGGGTGAAATCATACTGATAAAGCCCGTGAGTTTTTGCTGCAGTGTTTTTCAGGTCCCGTTCAGGATCGAACTGTGGTAGGCATGTCCTGCAAAACACGACGTTGTGCTCTGGAGCGCACTCCAGCTGATCACATGACAGCTCTCGCAGAGCGTTAAAGTCCCGCGCCGCTGACAGGAGCTGGTCCATCGACGAGCCATGACCTCGCTGCTGACTTTCCTCTTCAGGACGGGGTTTTTGCAAGATCTGCAATATTTTCAACTGGGTTTTCTCGAGGTTAGCAATACGCCCCTCGCAACCTGTCGGCATGGCGATGCCGCTTCTTCCGTTTCCACTACCCTGGTTGAGGCGGTTTTCGAGAATGTCCAGGATTCGCATAAGGTTTGCTTCCAGAGCGTCCAGCCTCGCTTCCAGCGCTCCGCTGACGCCGGGCTGGGCTCTGTCGGTGAGAGGTTGGGTTCCGTCGACTCCGGGCTGGGCTCCACTGACGCCGGGCTGGGCTCCACTGACGCCGGGCTGGACTCCGCTGACGCCGGGCTGGGCTCCGCTGACGCCGGGCTGGGCTTCGCTGACGCCGGGCTGGGCCTCGCTGACGCCGGGCTGGGCCTCGCTGACGCCGGGCTGGGCCTCGCTGACGCCGGGCTGGGCTTCGCTGACGCCGGGCTGGGCTTCGCTGACGCCGGGCTGGGCCTCGCTGACGCCGGGCTGGGCTTCGCTGACGCCGGGCTGGGCTCCGCTGAGGCCGGGCTGGGCTTCGCTGACGCCGGGCTGGGCTCCGCTGAGGCCGGGCTGGGCTCCGCTGACGTCGGGCTGGGTTTCGCCGACTCCGGGCTGGGTTCCGCTGACGCCGGGCTGGGCAGCGCCAGCGCCAGATTCCGAGTCGCTGTACTCTGGGAAGAAAGAAAATACAATGGTGAGCAACCAGCAAATGCATCAGCAAGTTCTTTTTTTAAGATTATGGTGAATCATGTAGCCTGTAGGAACTGAATGGAAAGCCTTAGCTCAGGGAAAGGCAACCTTTTTTGGGTGCGGGCCAGATATGAAATTTGGAAGCAGCCGGCGGGCCGGAGCATAGTATGCTAACAATTAGGTACAATCACTCACAATGTTGAAATGTGATAGGTTTATTAATGGAGTTTTAGTTCTGACAGGCACAGGCGACAGCTCACATGCTTTGCCCTGTGCACTATGAAGAAACGTACCTTTTCAAGACAGATTCTGGAGGAGAAAAAGCGAGTTTGAAAATATAAGGCATGGTTGTGTCCATTTCATTATCTGATCAAATACCAGCTTGCCTCCAATATCATTCTTTTCGAGGCAGGTGAAATGTGTGTAGGAAGAACTTTACTGGAAACGCACACTTCAGTCACTTTTATAAGGAAAAGTTCGATTTCTGAAGGAACCGCGGGCCGGTACACAATGTTAGTTGCTGAAACTAGCCGCGGGCCAGACGTCAGGATGGCCGCGGGCCGGATCCGACCCGCGGGCCGTAGGTTGCCGACCCCGGCCTTAGCTTCAAAAACACTTGCACTATTTTCCAAGCATAATGGCACCTTTGACTAAGGCGAGCAGCAATGGGCGATCCGGGCGCAACCCATTAACATGAATGAAGCGCTGCCTCGACTAGGTGTCCGCTAAATCGTTATATGGCAGTAGGAGTTAATAACAGTCCATTTACAAGGCAAGGAAAACCATAGCTGACAGCTTAAATCACACCCTGAAAGCAATGATTTTCAAATTTCAGGTATCGACAAACACCAAATGTTGTTATAATTAGAAGAAGAAACAAAAAACATGATTGACACCATATTGTAATTGGGTCAGTCTCACGCTATGTAGATTCACCCGCATCCAAATACATGGGGACGCGGTACGCGCTGGTTCGCTACCGCTGTGGCGGGTGAGTGGCGTCTGGACTGCGGTGCCACCTGGTGTACTACCTGTGGCGCCACCTACTATGCTGCTGATGACGCCACCCGAGATGGGTACCCACCGCTGATGTCATGTACGGCTGTTCCCCGCGGGCTGTCTGATGGGGGCGGCCTGGCCACCCGCACCTGTCGGCCCCCCGTGAGTTGAGCTGCTACGAGTTGGGACATTTATGACACAAAAGGTGGTGAAGATGCCACATTTTGAGGGGAAAATTATTGTAAATTTGTGATGGTATAAGGGTAGTGAAATTCACAAGAATCCCTAGAATGCCAGTCTGAGCAATGTGCTACCAAATCAATTGTCTTTTGCTACTCAGCTCATCACCACCCAAAATTTGCTTTTGGACACAGTACTACTTTTGACCAACTTTGATCTACTTTGACCACCTTCACTCTTAGCCTCTGACACAAAGCTGCTGCTGCTGCAGACCGGCCATTTCAGGTCCAGATGGATCTAGTAACCAGATGTAGCATACATATGTTATGGGCACTGGAACTTTTGCACCTTCTCAGCCCTGACTGGCAAAATAAGACCCTCTTCAGCAAGATCAGCAAGTAACCCTCTTGGGACTTGGGAGCATTTCTTCCCAATATCTTACAAATATGCACCTAGACAAGTTTGAAAGAAGTAAGAAATTACCACTTTTAAGCATATGAGTGTCTACTTTTAACCCCATCACCCCTTGGGGGCACCCCTATCAGCCAGTCAAAAATAGAACCCCCCCCCCCCCCTGCATTATCATTCCATGTTAGCTTTATTTTTTCAGTACCAGCAAAATACATGTTTTACATTAACTGCCTATGGCACTTGTCCCATACATTAACTGATGTGATTCTGGATTTCCAATATTACTTAATCTGCCAATAACAAACAATTTGAGTTGTGCACAAAATTATGTTCAAAATAGCCTAACCCAACCTATCTCAAGCAATTATTTTGGTTTTGCATGCATGCCAGGAAATGGGCCTGAAATGGTTATGTGTAATTCATTTGAGTATAATCAGACTAGAGTACAGTTGACCAACAATAATGGTTTTGGTTACATCCAGATTGAGCTGTGTAGAAGGATCACAAAAAGTGAGGGGGCTGAAGGAAATTTCATCTCTCCTTGAGAAAGGTCTAGTACCCACAAACATCATTTCTTTTTAAATATGAAAATTTCTGTCATTGAAGAATCTGCAGCAATGCTCTGTTTCTCTTAGAGGGTAAAGCGACAGCAAAGCAAAAAATTTTACTCCTGGGTTATGGGGCAGTCTGCTGTAGCCCTACCCTTGTTTCTTCACCTATACCTATGCATATATCAAACAGGTACCTATGTATAACAATGGTAGACAATCATAAAGCTGGAAATCTATCTCAAAACTGTTAATGTTATCTTGCAATGGTCCATGGCAATAGCTTGTTCAACTTATCATGCTTATTGCTTACCATGAAAAAGGAGCATGACCTGTTGGAACTTACCTACATCTATGGTGAAGTAAGGTACCTATTAATTCCCAAGGCCAACAACAAACATTTTTAATCTTTGGGGAACTTCCACAGCACATTTACATGCCACCAAGGCCAGTACAAACCAAATCAATGGGAATTTACACTGGCAGATCCAAGGGGGCTAACGGAGCCAAAAGTCGGACAGTGGAGAGGGGGTCAGTGTTATCTGGCCCCTCCCTTTCATAAGCCAACTTAATAGTGTAGGGTAATTTGCCAGTTGCCACTCAATCTATCATAATCACTCCCAGTTTAGCTCCTTGGCCCCTCCCTTTAACATCTCAATCTGGGCATTAGTAGAGCACACATCACACGAAGGTTTTCCAACCAAAGAGGTGCTGTAGGTTTAAGGTTTTACTTGTAGGTAGTAGGTTGTAGGTGAGGTTAGGTCAGGTCAGGTTAGATTGTTTGTTTGGTTTGGTTTATGGTAAGAAAGAAGCATCTCTCGGTAGCGCCTCTCCTTGGTTGGAAAACCTTCGTATGACATCTGCTCTACCAATACCAACATCTGCTGGCTCTGACAGTGGGAATTCAAGTCAGTAATTAGGTAGGTACCTACAGCCTACTACCTACCTATCAAAACATATGAATAATAGGCATGTCAGTTGTCACTGTTAATGATGCAATAGGTGCAAAAAGAATGAGAAACATACAAATACTGAATGCTAAAACAAAGTCAAACCCACCTTGAGACTGGGAGAACCAGGCACTGAAGCGGCCATCTGGACCAAACGGACCACTTGGCCTTATCTTTGGAGGCAATCCTGGGTGTTTTACTCTTGTGTGTCTGGGCAGGTTTTGCTTGCTGTTATAATAGGTGCAGTCTGCATAGCCACACTGAACTCTGACGAGCCCACGATTCCTTTTCTTTGGCCTTTTCGGCCGGGGTTCATCAACCCCATCACAGTCAACTTGCTCCATCATGCTTCGGCCCACACGCCTCACAACTCACAGTACCAAAGTCTCAGGAAAACTCAGGTATTGCTAATTGCACTTCCACTGAAATCCCAGTTCCCACAAAAAAGTCACCACTCAACCAATCCTCACTACTCGAAGCGCGACGCCAGACCACGCCAATCGATGAAATGCCACAAACGTCTCCTACAAAATTTCAAATTGAAATGGACGCGATGCGTTGCACAAGATTCAGGTTTGAAGAAATTCTGCCATAAACCCAGCCCGCAGCTGGCATATACTAGTGCAGCTAGTCGTCGCTTCCTACGACTAGCCGATCAAATGTTTCAGGCCAATGCTTCAGTATTTAGGGAGACCCGAGAGAGACCCCGAAATCAGCGATCCCCTTCCGATGCGAGACCGGGGTCTCTTAGTAGGCTTGGTAGAAAGTTAGTAGCAAGTTAGTAGTATGGGTAGTATATATAAGAAGAACCAAAGTGGCAGCCATGTAATGAGAAGCGAATACAATACCGTAAAAAATATATAATATTTTATAAAATGAAATATTCATCAATGTCTCTAAGTTTTTTCTTCGTTTTTATTTTGTGATTTTGGTCTCCTGGATATTACAACGATATGACTAAGGGGTCGCCGATAATATCTACCATATCGGTGATTTTTTTCACCCCTGAGCGGCACCGCCGGCCGGCAGTGGAGCTCCGCCGGGAAGGGGTGGCGCCGTATCCGGAGCCGGATACGCTCCCCGAGCCGGAGGATCCGGAGGGACGGCCGGCTGAGATCAGCAATCGTTCTCCTGGGGGAGGCCATCGCACCCTCACTGTGCAGAGGGTGGACGTCCTGAGATACCGCCCGGCTGCAGCGCCTGCCTCACTGGACTCACACTGCTCCCCTCGACAGGAGATCCTACCAGCTCGGTCCGCCCGTCTGTCGGCGGCGCTCGGCCCGATTTGCTGTCACGTTTTACAGCGGCCGACGCGGCGTGTGCTGGTTATATTGGCAGGCGGCGTGCGCGGTGGGCTGGGCCGACCGCCAGCCGGCGGCACACAGACAGACCGACGGACTAGCGGCCGTGTCGGTATCACCGGCCGTGGGGAGAGGCGCAGCGCCCACCGGGGAGCGGCGCGGCCGTCCGTCAGAGCCGCCCGCTGAGCTGCGCCTAACTGACATTTACGGTGGCCGAGATACAGAACAAACCGGCACAGCAGATATGTGGGGCTCCGCAACAGAGGCCAGGGCTTTCCGTCATAAAGGCTCGAGGATGTAGCTCAGATGCTCGGTCAATGCTTAAGGAGATAACATAACAGCGCATAGCAGTCCAGGAAAATTGGCGAATCTTTGAGGAATGAATACGACACAAAATCATGTCAGTCAACATTACAAAATATTTACCCAATAGACAAGCATTCAGTTTAAGTGGGATTTCACACTGATTTAGTTCTAGCACTACAAAAAGGAAGACTAACCCGTACTATATCGACAAAGGCTCTATAAGCATCAGAAAAGCAGCCATTCTTCATTGTCTGAGAATAGGCCGCAACTCTGAACTGTTAAGCTTCCGCACCATGGTCGTATAACTTCCAACCCAGTTTGCGGCTGTAAAACACTAATAAAGACACACAGCTCATCCAGTGGGCCGCCCGCCCGCTATGCAAATGCGTCCGTCCCCTACCGCGTCCAATCAGATGAGTGGCTCGCACCAACGGGTGTCCAGGACACGTGACCTGACTCGGACTGTCAGAATCAGCACCAAAGAGGAGGTAAAAAGGGAGCCGGCGAGCCGCAGTCAGCTGCTCAGAGACCACGTCACAGCTAAGGGAATCAGTGGAGCGGCACATGGTCTTAACGTTATTGCATAGGCAGTCACCAAGAATCTTCAGTATTATGCTAATTGCTAACTGCTGCTGGTCGGGAACCGGGGTTGCCATGTGAAAAAAGACAATCTTAGCAGTCAACGTCGACATCTTGGTGGATGAATGGGCCTTGATAACAATAATAAATAAAACAAGGACCGGGCACCCCCTGAGATCGATACAGATCCGATGAGATTTTGGAGTCGGGAAAAAATGGGGGTACCTTTCTGAGAATGCCTGTGAGGTCAGACTCGATTGGAGCGTTCAGTTCAAACCAGAGTCTGACTCGCAGTTGCCAAAATCTTCAAGACTCAGAGTCCAGACTCGGAAATGTCAATGCTGTGATTCATGCCATGTTCCTAGTTCGTTCTTTATTACATTTTACAGCTGATTTACATAAGTTTTGGAGTGCTGACACAATTTTCGTTCAAAGCGTGAAAGGAAATATTCGGGGCCTTTCTCAACTCTCGTCAAATGTCTGCGACAGGCTCAAGTACCGTACAAGTGTCGCAGGGCTCATGAGCTTGCTTTAAACAAAGGCTCCTAAGGAGCTCCACTGAGCCCTAAAGAAGCTTTCAGAGGGCCCAAACCGGCCTCTGAAAGTCCCACTGATGTCCATGTTCTCTGAGGGCCCATACAGGGATCTTTGAGCCTTCGAACATTTCTGAGAACCTTAACTGGCCTCTGATAGTTCAGCCAAACTTTGAGGCGACAAACTTTGCTAACCCCAAGCCGGCATCTGAGGGGTCACAGCTCACGCGTCCCTTTGAGGTCCGCAACACATGTTTATTATGTCCCTACGTAGGGTCCTTAGGGATTCGACACAGACCCCGAGGGTTCACACTGTTATCCGAGGGCTCCAGGCTCACCCTGGGCCTAGTCTCCTAGCGCCCGCCGCCCACACTGGCTTCTGAGGGCCCCACCTTGGGCTCAGAAAGCCCCAAAGCACCACGTACACGTAAATATTTGAGGTGACCCACGTCGATCTCCGGGATCCTAAGCATGCTTCTGAGAGTCAGCACTGACCCTGAGTGGCCTGAAATGGCCTGAAAGTCCCAAACCTATATCTAAGGGATCCCTTGCCGCTATGCCGTGCGTAACTTTTGGTTCCGTTAAACAGTTGTTGTTCGCGTTTGCAGCACTTCCCTTCACACGAAAAACGAGAAACTTTTGTTCACACCCGAGTGAACAAAACACTTCCTCTCACTGGAGCAAAGATGAATTACTTCCGATTCTATCCGCCGAATGCCCAACTTAGCTACGATCGGCGGCTGGGATAAGTCCTGTGCATTTCACGTAAAACCTCTGCATGCATGCGTGAATGGAGGTTTTAGCAGGTTGATCCGATTAAATGGAGCGTTTTTCACCTTTTTCTGGGTAATGATCATGAGCGTCGAGCGTCTGCACAGGGGCCCTCTGCAGTGCGTCGGCAATCGCAGCCACTATATACTATAATTCTACCAGTCGTTTTTGTCATGAATTGTCAAAATTTCGAATTTTTCTGTAAAAAATCACATGTCATAGCTAGAAGGAAACATTTGTCACCATCGGATTCCTTGCACCATTGCGCGTCGAATGATATGTAAAACGAGTGAGTAAAGACTGGGGAAAGGCAAGTTTTAACACAAAAGTTGATTTTGCCCCCCCAACCGAAAATCTCTGGCGACGCCTATGCCTTGAATGTTTGGTGATATCACTTGAACGCCCTTGATCATCTCCTTTTTACTCGTTCCGGTAGTGGCCGAGCTAGGCAGCAAAATCATATGGACTTTACCCACAATATTCGTCACTGCTCTTGAGACTGGCAGCGGAGTGGCCGTATGCAGTGTTAGCAGCGGTCGCAGCTGTGGCCGACCGCCCGTGCACCGAGCCAGCTCGGCCTCGGAGGGCGCTTTTTGCAGGCGTTCGGCCGCAGAGGCGAAAACAATCACCACACTAATCGCGCTTCCTGTTCGTGCTTTGCAGGACGGTCGGGAGGCGGTCGGAGCGCAGCAGAGCGTCGGCCGGCGGAGGTCGGCAGCCCGATAGATGGGTGGCCCCGGCGGCGCGGCGCCGGCGGCCAGCAGAGCGAGCCGCGCGCCCGGCGCCGCCTGACGCGCCCGACGCCATGCTGCGAGCGGCCGCCCAGCTGGCGGTGCTGCTGGCGGCGCTGGCGGCGGCGCCGGCCGGCGCGCAGCGCAGCTGCCCCAGCTCCTGCTACTGCGACGCCCAGCTCAACGTCAACTGCGTGGGCGACACCATCTGGCGCTTTCCGGACGGCATCCCGGCCGGCGTCACCCGGCTGGAGCTGCGCAACTACGTCATCCCGACGCTGGGCGCCGCGCAGCTGGCCGACTTCGCCAACCTTACCGAGCTGAAGGCGCCGCAGAACAAGATCGGCGTCGTCGAGGAGGGCACGTTCCAGGCGCTGGCCGCGCTGCGGAAGCTCGACCTCAGTCAGAATGAGATCGCCACCGTGTCGCCGGGCACGTTTGCCGGGCTGACGGCGGCACGCAACCTGGACCTCTCGTCCAACGAGCTCCGCGAGTGCGAGGGCGCCTTCGCGAGCATGGCCTCGCTGGAGCAGTTGACGCTGAGGAGCAACAACCTGACGCGTCTGGGACCACACACGCTCGACGGTCTGGAAAAACTGCAGTACCTGAACGTCGACTCAAACACCATCGCCGAAATCGACGTGGCAGCGTTCCAGGGCCTGACGAGCTTAGCACACCTGATCCTCAGTAACAACCCGCTCTCCAACCTCAGTCGCCTGGAGTTCTTCGGCTCCCGACTGCAGTACATCGACGTGTCGGCGGTGGGTCTGACGCGGATCCCGCAGTCACTGACCCAGTACGTGCGAGACCTCCGGCTAGCCAAGAACAACTTCACGACACTGCGACGTGGCGACTTCGACAGTTACCTGTACCTAGGCCTGCTGGTGCTGGACGACTCCGGCGTCACAGAGCTGGAGGAGGACGCGCTCGGCCGGCACGAGTACCTGATGCGGCTCTGGATGAACGGAAACAAGCTTCAGCGGGTGCCGACCAGCTTGCCGTCCAGCCTCAAGGCGCTTTACCTGGAGGAGAACCAGATCACTGCTCTGAGAGCTGACGAATTCCAGGGTCTGGTCAAGTTGGAGCAGCTGTTCCTCCAGCGCAACAAGATCGCACTGGTGGAGGACTGTGCCTTCTGCGGCCTGGGCAGCCTCCAGAACCTGGACCTGCAAGCGAACCGAATCACCCGACTATCGGCGCGCAGTTTCTCCGGTCTGATCGCGCTCGAGTCGCTGGACCTGTCGCAGAACCCGCTGACGGTGATCGAACCGGGCGCGTTCGCGCCGTTCCTCGCCGTCACCTCGCTGCGCATGTCGCGCATCGCCGGCAACGTGTCGCTGCCCGACTCACTGTTCAACGCGCTGGAGCGGCTGGACCGGCTGGAGCTGCTCGACAGCCCGCGGCTGGTGGAGCGCGTGCTCGGTTCGGGCCAGCTGCTGCACGGCATCCGCTCCGTGCAGCAGCTCAACATCATGCACAACGAGCTGCAGCGGCTGCGGGCCGACCT